AACGTCACGTGCCAATTTGATGTTTGCCTGCCTTCCAAAAACCCTCCCATTATATACTAGAAATACATGCATGCAGCAACCCCTCGCCATTTTAAAGTGCTACTGCAACGAAATTTTCGACCCCATTTTTATTAGCCTAAACAAATATTCTAAACAAATATTCTATTTTAGAAACAATTTGATGTATATATGACTTTTGTGTGTTAAGTAGAAGTTGACTAATTTTGCCCTCAAACCGGAGGGCAAATGCGAACTTTTATAGCCGCTATGTTTGCTGATGTGACGTCATAACGAGTACCGATGTTTCCAAGCTTATGGTGATTCGTGCGCTACCCAGACATAACTTTCTACGCTAATATTATGAAATAACTCGTGCAAATTTTTCGGAAACAAAGACAGTACGGAAACAAAGACGGTCGTCAAGGTGAACAGAAATCACCTGTTTGCCTGCTGCATTACGTTGCAGTTTAAGTGAGTGTTAAACTTTTCTATAGCTAAACCTTCAAAACATCAAAACAGCACAAATAATTATAATAACCATACAAGCAATAAACGCCGAATGTTGTTTTTCGATTATTTATTTTATTCAATGATTTTAGCGACTATATAAGCTGCAAAGTGATTCACTAGTTTTATCAAAACTCTGAAGTGCACTTTTGAGAATTCTTTTTAAAGTTTAAGGGATGATGTAAAGCCTTAAACGGTCGGTTAGCTCCTTGTAAAACGACATACCAAGCTCGTACTTGTCAAAATAACAATGCATTCTTACTGACAATGAATAAGCAAAACTTAGACACCTACCACTTCAAAGATTATAAACTACGAGTCGTTCCTATTTCACCAACTGTTTCTGTGCTGTGATGATCTTTAAATCTTTCATTATTATTTCTATGGTTTGACTCCATGATTTCATTTTATATTTTTTTAAAAATAGTTTGCAAAATGACGGTTAAAATGCTGACGCTCTCGTGCATGCTCTCTTTTTGAGCCAATCAGCAAGTTGTAGACGACAGTTCTTTCTTCGTTCAAATTCGCGCATGCGCACAACTACCACGACCATTGAATGAACGTCCATGATATTTGGGCAACTTTGGATTCGCCTATGTTCTGTCAGAATACCCGGGTGTAATCCTAATCTCCGGGCGGGATTAGTACCCTCGCACGACACTTCGCGCCGGCTCGGGGATAAACATCCCGCAGATAAATCGGCTACGTTACGGCGAGAACGAAGTGCATAAATAGTTATTCTTCAACAAGCCCAGGTTTATTTAAGTCTATATCTACAGGGTGAGTAAAAAAAAAGTCCCCCCCTATTGAAATGAAGCCTTTGTTGATTTGAATGCATGATCAACGCAGTAGTGTGTAAATAGCATAGTTATTAGGTTGAGGCATTCAAATAAAGCGTCTTGCTTTCAATTGGGTTTATCATAATATTAAGGCAATCAGATTCTAACAAAGGCTTGATTTCAATAGAGGGGACTTTTTTCTGACTCACCCTGTAGATCTCCACCCACAGGTTTATCTTAATGACTGCTTGTTTGAATTACACTACCTTCTGTACCTTATATAATGGTCTGGTTCATTCTGTGATAGAAAGTTTTCACCGTATATGTAAATTGATGATGATAATGACATTTTCGGGCCTCCATTTGGTATAAGTGAAACTCACAGCTTCAACCAACTCAACGTATAAATAAGTAGTAAACGTTAAATTATTCGATGAACGGTGAAGCCGACAATAAATCAATATGAGGTTACAAATATACGATTATCGTCGAAAACGAGGCATAACTACTATTATATCACAATTACTAAATATGAACAACTTGACTTGACAAGACATAACAAGATGGCGGATAGTCACGTTCAAGATCGTACTGATGTTTGATTCAATAATCTCAATGAGTGTCTAGATTTTAACAATTTAAAGGAGTATATAGCGACCAAATGTGTTACCTATGATGGAGAAAGAGTAAAATGGCACAACAATTTTGACAAATTGCAAGAATTTATCAACATGGGAAATAGTCGTCTGCGGGTGGTCGTGCTAGAAGGTTTGACTCTTCCTCGTCTGAATTCCCAATCATATGGTACCTTACCCTAACCTCAAGTAGGAATGTCGGTACACGGGCGAAAGATTGTTTAATAAAACTTTGTACTGCCTCTACTTCGGGTAATATCGAAATTGAAGATCATCAAAGCATTAGTGCTAACCACTGAGCTATATAATAATTCCTGGAGGACCGCCTCCTAATGTGCCCAACTGGCCATGGTAATGACCACTGACCAACCGCGATCCAAGCCAAAAGACGTCCTTCACATAGAGATTTATATGAATAACACAGTGTTATTTATAATCTCTATGGTCCTTCACCCTCCGTTTTTTTGTAAAAATTCCCGCCTTGTTAAGTTTTTTCAAAGTGTTTATCACGTATTGAAACGTTAACCAAGGTTTTTGAAAAATTTTCATAAAAATGCCGCGTTTTTGTGCCGCTTTTGGATGCCATAACTTATTGTTAAAGGAAAATATTTCTTCACATCGGTAAGAAATTTTTAACCATATTTTTAGTGTTTTTTCGGACATTGTTTTATTATCTTGTCAGTTGAATTTGTCAGTTTTATAATTTTAACTGCGAAGCAGTGGGTAAGTGGTTGGTAAATACTAAACAGACCTCAGAGATATGATATCAGATCATGTCAGAGTAGCCAGACACTCAGACTAGTGTTTCAAGCGTTAGTAATGTCTTTCTAGGTAGTATCAAAAACTCTTGTTAGAAAAGTCTTAAAGACTGGTAGTATTTCTGTATATTTTGCATTTTTTGAACTGAGGAATGACAATTATTACATAAGTATGTGATTTCAATACATAGCTAGCCTAGATATTATTTGGTATAATTTTATTTTTATTATATGATTGATTTGAAGTTTGCTGGGTTGTGATACATCAATTAATTATATAACTTTCACTATTTTGTTGCATTAACTAAACTATTAATTAAAATATGTATTATTGTTATTTATGCAGTTTTCCAGACGTGAATATTTGCCATATGGATTGAAAATGTGAATAAGATTTCCCCAGTTAAGTTTGTACCTACAAAGGAAAGCCGATTATGTTCAGATCACTTTACTATGGAGATGAAACAGCAGACTGGAAAAAGAGTAATTTTGAAGCGAAATGCTATCCCAACTGTGTTCCAAAAATCTCAGGTTGATACCTATGCTAAAAATTTTACCACAATGTTTAGATATATCTATATGACAGTGATATGTTTTAACTGGTTTATAGTTTTGAATAGTACATGTCTCATGTAGATACCCATGCAAACTGTTCCCCGCCTATAAGAAAACTCTTTGAGGTATATATTGTTTTATAAAAATGTATGACAGGCACTTTATTTATTACATAATTTGGTTATATGTTTTGATGATGTCACATGCCTAATTAAAGCCTTCTGTATACATTATTGTTGATGATGATCTTTTAATTAATATCAATGAAATTATAGGAAATACACATTGGCAAGTCAGAGATGGAAGAGAAAAAAGGTTTGTAGTTACAAAGAGTAAAATCGGCAAATGAGGTCAGTGATGGAGCATTAGGTTTGCAGGTCACAAAAGTAATGAGTAACAAAGAAAGTGTAAGTATGAGGGATGGTGCTGGGGCAATAACAACTGAAGACAATGTAAGTACTGAAGGCAGTGTAAGTATGGCCGGAATACAACATAGCTCATGCAGACAGTTTAGGTATTGAGGGGGTCACTGAAGAAATTTCTAGTAGTAATGAAGGTGTAAGTATACTCGGAAGGAAAAGAAAACTTGAGGATGAAGTGATTTTGGACGAGGAGCACTGCTCTGAAAAAGGCTCATATTACTAGAACATCTGGAACAGCGAATCATGATCACACATATCACATCAGTAAATCTCGTTGTGGTTTGAAACAACAAGTCGATGATGTTGTCAGCAAATTGACAAAGTTGCAGAAGAGGTATAAAGTATCCAAACAAAAGACTCAGCGCCTGAAGCGAAAGGTTGTGACTCTGAGTTCAGTGGTAAGTGAGTTAAAAAAGAAAAGTCTTATAAACAGTGATTGTGCCTCAATCTTGGAAACAACCTTTTCCGGAGTTCCAAAGGAACTGATGAAAAGGTTGGTGTCGCAAAATAAAAATCCTGGCGCGTATCCACCCGAGCTAAGGTCATTTGCTCTGACCTTAAAGTTTTATTCAACGAAGGCATACAATTATGTTCTTCAAACTCAAGTTAGAAAATACCCTGTGGATATTTTCTGGTGAATGGGCTGACTGGTGAAGAGAAGGCCAACTTAACGAAAGAATGCATTCGGAAATTGCACGAAGTCGGGGTGAAGGTGATTTCTTTCGCATGCGACGGTCCATCGACCCACCAGGCGATGTTAAAGGAGCTTGGCGCAATTCTTACACCTGATAGCCTGCAGGCGTATTTTCCGCATATGTGTGACCCAAAGACCAAGATCTACGTGTTTCTGGATGCCTGCCACATGATCAAGTTGGTGCGAAACAACACAATGTCGGACTGGCAAGTTCTGAAGAATGAAGAAGGGCGCTCAGTTCGAGTGTTGCTGATGCTTTAGAATACTGCGAAGGTAAGCTGAAATTGCATTTCAGGGATGTGGTTCAACTGTGAAGTTTATTCGTGTTTTTGATCGCTTATTTGATGTTCTGAATTTCAGAAACCGGCTGGCGAAGAATTACAAAGCGCCAATCAGGAGATCGAATTATCAGTACACGAAGTAGTTTCTGGACCAGGCGAGTGAGTACATCCGAAATCTAAAGGGTCCTGATGGAAGGTCGATTTTCAAGTCGAAAAGAAAAACCGGATTTCTTGGTTTTCTTATTTGCATCAAAGCAGTTTTGGGATTGGTCGACGATCTGGTTATGCCTGATCTCCAAGTGATCTGACTCATCTTGTACAACTCCAAGTGATCTTGACTCATCTTGTACGTACCTTCTGACGTACAAGATGAGTCAAGATCACTTGGAGTTGTTCTTCGGTGCTGTGCGAGCATGCGGAGGATGGAATAACAATCCAACCACACGGCAGTTTGTAGCCGCGTACAAGCAACTGCAGATGAGGCACAATATTAAAGGAGGTCATAGAAACTGCGTTGCTCAAGATGACACTCGGATATTAGACTGCGTCAAAGATCAGTGTGAAATTGAACAAACGCCAACTGGGATCTCAGACGTAGCGATTGCAAGGTATGACCTGGAGTTGAGAGAGCCAGGTGCCGTCGATCATGACTATTGCGATGTGTCTAATTAATGCCATTGAACTGTCTGAGTACAAGGAGGCTGCAATATCCTATATTGCTGGATACGTCTCGAAGATGGTGACGAAAAAGATCCATTGCGCCCAATGTACAACGGTGCTGACGACGACGGAAGAGAACATACCGGTGTCCCAGGAAATTTGGCCCCTCCAAAATTTGCCCCCCCCCCGGGCCATATTTCCTAGGAAATTTGGTCCCCCTTTCGGAAATTTGGCCCCCTCGAAAACATATACTTTATTGCCATGAGTTCGAAAATCGCGAAGCTTCTTCTAAAAACAAGATCGTAAATGTTTGTTTGTATTCATAGTTAGTTTGCTTCATTTATTTCAAAAGCTTTTCATCTCGGCGAAGATCTAAGACGAATATTGTTAATGTGCACGTGGCTAACTCCTAGGATTATCATAACATTACTAGGGGCTTTAATCGAAAAATCAATAAATAAGTGGTAATTTCCTAAAACAACCTTTCCTATGTATGTATAACCGCTAAGCCTATAATTTATAAGGTCGCCAAATTAAGAATTTCTGGGGAGGACAAATCATGTATTGAACAGTTCGGAAATTTGGTCCCCCTCGATAACATAAATATATATATATATATATATATATATATATATATATATATATATATATATATATATATATATATAGATGAAATTAAGTCTTAAAATGAATTTATTTAGCTATCGCTACTCTGAGTTTCACGATTATCTCGATCTTCAGGCGATTAAATTCAGTTCGTTGGATTGCGTTTGGATTGGATTTGATTCGCTCTACTATAACATCTTATAGTATTGAGCACTCTTTTGTCTTTTCGAACAACAAGATTATACTTATATATTAATATATATAGATAATATATTTTATATATATATATATTATATATATATATATATTTATTTATTGAATTTATCTTAAAATATTGTCGTCGCTACACGGTGTTTCACGCCTGACCTTTTACAGTCAGACGATCTTCAGGCGACAAATACAGGATTGAGTTTAATCATGGTTCAATGTTTGCTTGCGACGCATCTTCAACGGTCTGCTGACGCGCGCTCGCGCGCTTAGATGTTCGCGCCCCATTCTGCGTGCGTTTAAACCGCCCCGCATTGAACTTGTTCCGGTGGCAGCACTTTGAGAACAGTTCGCTTCTTTTGTTCAAGGATTTACTATGGTCTGCTTGTATTATGCATAGTTTTTCTGAAAGGCATAAGTTGCAGCACTTTTTACCAGCAGTGCGGGGGGGGCGCGTTTCAAAATTGACCAGTTGATCTTGAATGGTTTCCCACTCGTCTTAAGTTTCCAGACATGTTTCGACAGTTCTGTGTCTGTAGCGTAGCGTTCGTTGTTGATAGATCTCTTGTGATTCCTGTAGCGTTCTTTGAAGGTCGTAGACGTCATCCGATGTACTCTTTCGTCTCCTTTTCGTCTTTCAGTATCGGCTTTATACACGATGTTCTTCGTCAAGCAATTTCCTTGAAGAGGGCATCTGTCTTTGATTCTTCAATTGCAGTTGTTGTTTTCGGTTCTTCCTGTGTTTCGTGCGTTGTTTAGTAATCGATGGTTGTGGTTTGAGATCGCGCTTTTTATGTTTCCCATACAGGAGTAGCTCACTTTTATTGAGTTCCTATTGAAGATTTTGTGTAATGGGGATGATTGCGGAAAATGTTTGTCTAACAACTGTAGGAACTTGCGTGCGACGTTCGTACTGACATTTTTGCTGTATGGCGGATTGAACCAAATGATTTTCCTTCGACGCGCTCTTTCTGGTGACGAGGGGTTGATGGTGCGGTCAGTTTGGTAATGCATTTTGAAGTTGTAATTGCTGCGTTTGAGGGCATTCTCATAAAATGATGTTGAGGAGTCGAAGGATGCTTGGTCAGATGACAGGGGGGATATTCGATTGTTCACCGATGTTGGGATTTGTTTGATAATTGATGGAGGGTGATTGGATCTGCTGTCGATGTAGAGGGGATCGTTGTTTGGTTTCGGTACGGCGAGTATTTCTGGTCTTTCAGGTTTAGGGTGATGTCGAGAAAGTTTACAGTTTGGTTGTTGATTTCGGCGGTTATTTTCAGATTGAGTTGGTGGAAGATTTCGTGTAGATCTTTTCGAGCTTTATCAGCTGATCGACCACTGACACCTTTCAATAATGCTAGACCGTCGTCCCGATACAATCCAACGCCGTTACCGAACTTTCGTTTTAGTTGACTCAAGATGAATAGCCCGACGAGCTCGCAAATCTCGGCTCCATCATAACTTCCCATTGTAACGTCGAATAAGGAATCATTTCCCCGCTTCACCCAGGTTTTCTCGCCGTTAAAGAGTAAAGATTTTCGTGCGTGTTTAATAATGTCTATGTGCTCTTTTGGGATTGTAGTGAGGGACCTTGCCCATGTAATAACTCGGTCGAGGAGGTCTTCTGTGATAGATGGGTAAAACTCGACAATATCAAATGAGAGAAAGGTATGGTTGGGCTTATTCTCGATTGATTGAAACCACTCGATCACGGATTGTGAGTTTTTCCATTGGTTCACGTTAATAATGGGTCGAATTCTGTTGTTGATGCTATCAAGTATAACTTTACTGACCTTCCCGAGGTCGCTCTTTGCAGGGTTAATGAGACGGCATTTTAGGTTCGAGTTGAAGTTTTCTTTGTGTCTTACTGACTAAAGACGAAAAGGAGACGAAAGAGTACATCGGAATGACGGCTACGACCTTCAAAGAACGCTACAGGAATCACAAGAGATCTATCAACAACGAACGCTACGCTACAGACACAGAACTGAAGAAACATGTCTGGAAACTTAAGACGAGTGGGAAACCATTCAAGATCAACTGGTCAATTTTGAAACGCGCCACCCCCCGCACTGCTGGTAAAAAGTGCTGCAACTTATGCCTTTCAGAAAAACTATGCATAATACAAGCAGACCATAGTAAATCCTTGAACAAAAGAAGCGAACTGTTCTCAAAGTGCTGCCACCGGAACAAGTTCAATGCGGGGCGGTTTAAACGCACGCAGAATGGGGCGCGAACATCTAAGCGCGCGAGCGCGCGTCAGCAGACCGTTGAAGATGCGTCGCAAGCAAACATTGAACCATGATTAAACTCAATCCTGTATTTGTCGCCTGAAGATCGTCTGACTGTAAAAGGTCAGGCGTGAAACACCGTGTAGCGACGACAATATTTTAAGATAAATTCAATAAATGACTCGCTCTACTTGTAATTAGTATTGAGCACTCTTTTATCCATTACAAACAATTACATTTGGATATATATAATATATATATAATATATAATTATATATATATATAATTATATATATATATATATAAAATATATATATAGTTTTGAAATCGCGAACTTTTGACTCAATATTCAACAAGTTTCTGAACCTAATATGAAATTCGTCAGAATAACAACCACACTTTAGCAAGCGATGACAACATGCGTTGGCGAAAGTATTAATGTGCATGCGGCTAACATTTAGGGAGTAATTAATACAAATTTGCATAAAAACGTTTAAAAACAATCGGCAAACACAAAAACAGGTAACTTGCACTATATAAAATCCGTCAGTACTGTTTGTAAGTTGTAACTCAACCCACGGCTAGATAGACTTTTATACACTTAAAACTTTTATACACTTAACGGTTCTCTAGCTCTAAAATGGTAAGGTAAACTAAGTTTTTTAGAGGGGTGCCAAATTTCCGAAGGGGGGGCCAAATTTCCTAGGATATTTGGCCCGGGGGGGGGCATATTTCCTAGGAAATTTGGCCCAGGGGCGCAAATTTTCGGGGGGGACCAAATTTCCTGTGACACCGGGCTTTGACATTGGATAAACAGATTTTGGAGCTCGGTGATTTGAACAGCAACATGCTATGCTAGAAAATAGCCAAGATTTACAGAGAGCGCTAACAATTATTTTACAAAATTAAATCTTACACAGATCATTAAAACTCAAACTACACCTTTTCCTAGTCATTTTCAGGCACTTTGAGATGAAATTCAAATAATCGTAGAAAATATTAAGTTCAAACAAATGAATTTTAAACCTTTATAACCGATATTCAGTTATTCCAAATGAAATTCATATATTTCCAAATTATCGAAAATGTGTCACTTAAATTTTAGATTAGTTCAAAATATATTCAAATTTTTCATTACAATATCAAATATTTGCAATTGAAATTAGTACATCAACAAGTACACTTCAGGAACATCCCATTGAAATTCAGACAATCTCAAGTTGACAATTCTTCTATGATTACAGCGAAAAATGCCTGTGTGTAGATAATGTATAGAAAGGGGGAAGACGCAAAAAGTTCACTAATGAACAAATCGAGGCTCTTGTTGACATGATTGAAAGCGATCCTACGTTGACGTTGAGGCAATTGTCAGACAGAACCCTAGCCGAATTTGGAATCACCATCAGCCCATCAACTATCCACAATTACTTGCAGGGGAAACTCATTACCCTAAAAAAGGCACATGCTATCCCTGCTACTATGAACACGGACCCCAACAAAGAATTGCGAAGACGGTATGTTCAACGGGTCAGTCAGTACATGAGAGAAGGAAAGACCATTATATGGATGGACGAGACAAATCTTAACCTGTTTTGCCGTAGAAGTCAAGGGAGAGCACGTGTTGGTGGGCGAGCAGTTATGGCTCTCCCGACATCCAAGGGTCCAAACATCCATGTTATCTGTGCATTGTCAGCCTATCAGATGATATACATGACCAGACGTCGTGGAGCGTTTAAATCCGATACTGCCAAGGCTTGGTTGCTAGAAATGCTTGAACATCTCCCTCTTGGAATTACAGTCGACTCAGTTGTTGTGGTCTGTGACAATGCTCCTTGTCATAGTAAGTTTGAGGAATGTGTGATTGAGCATCCGGGCCTAACTATCTGTCGTTTGGGGCCGTATTCCCCAATGTTGAATCCTGTCGAGACGGTATGGAGTAAAATGAAGGCAGTGGTGAAACAGCGA